TTTGTCAGCTCAGCTTAACGCAGTCAGCTGCAAAGTCAGCCCCATTTAAATTTCGCTCACGTTTTCTCTCGGATGAACTGAAAAATAACGCGAATGGAAAATCAACGGATACGGTTGTGCGGATGTGCGGATGTACGAATCTCCAAACCAGCAGCTGTCAACTGGCAACTGGGTACCGGGGACGAAATGCAATCAGATGCAATTAGAGCGCCAATCCCTATAACGACAGAAGACAAACAGAAGAATTGACACTGAAATTGGAAGCCCAAAAGAAAAGTGCAAGTGAATTTAAATTAGTAAATCTTAACTGTTTGTTTGGTTTTTTTGGGTCAAGTAGTGAGAAGTGAGTGAGCTTGAGATGTTGTGCATATACATATATATATTTGAGTGACTGCTGATGGAATTTAATTATTTTGATGTGCAGCATTTCACGTGATTAATTTGCCAATTGATTACACATTCAAGTTGGATCCTTTTTGCTCATCTTGTTTGTTATTAAGCTTGAATTGATTTATGAGCGCTTTTCTGATTTTCTTTGTATTTGAATTTTTCCTGGCCAGCTCAAGTTTAAATGAATTTCAATTTGATTTGATGAGTGTAACAGCACTCTTCAAATTTAATTTCATTTTAAAATTGTAGTAGCTCTTAGGCATTATTAAATTAAACTAGTGTTGGCATCGAGCGAAATGCATTCCTTTTGCTTGAGCAGCTTCGTCCGTCCGATTGAATTACCTGTTGATTCAATCAATTATTCAACAGAATATCTTTTTTCCATAAAATGAAAATAAATAATAAGAATGAAAAAATAACTAAATAACTAAGTATTAAATTAAATTATTTTTTAGCATGCCACTTGTTAAGAGCGTCTTAAGAACCACTGAGTAATCTACAAAAGCCAATTTAATAATAGCTTAAAATATTTTACATCAAAAATACTCTTCCCACAGCCATAACTTTGTCAAAAGCGATCGATAATCAGGACTCTTTAAACATGGTTTGAACTCCAGATATATACTACATTCTAAGTTGAAAATGAGATTCTGCTTCGATTTCGAGGTTAAAATTCTATTGCAAAAATTGTCTTGTAGGGACTGGTCCAAGCTTTCCAATACCGTGAAATTATCAAAGCTGAAACTTCGCAAACAGTTGAAAACGATTTTCAGTCGAAACTCATATAGGGATAAGGATATTTATATTTTACTTAAAACATGGCGATCAGCCGAGCTGACTATAAACGATAGGCCAGACTCTATATAAATCTGTAGTACCTTAAACGATGCCAGTGCAGAAGCGCACAAATCAAAATGCAACAGCAACTTTGTTGTTGCTCCAGTTTCTTTCTCGTTTTTTGTTGAGCGGGTAGGTTGGGGTTGGGAATATTTCATGTGCACCGCTTAGTAAAAGCCATGCCCACCAAGGATTAGGCCAGGATGATATACGTTCCGCGGGCGTGAGCAGATTGCGCAGCCAGCTTAATGCCGTAAAGGTAAAGGTGTCCTTACCCTCCCTGCCTCCCACCCTCCAACCCCCTTCTCTCACAAACACCCATTTTATGACAACGCCCATCAAGGTGTCCTCCATGGCCGTTTTGGGGGCGCAAGGCACTCGCTGGCGTTTATTGTGTGATGCCCGTGCCGCATAAACTCAGCGCCAGGTGGCGCCAAAAATCTGACTCGATGTGTGTGTGTGTGTGTGTGTGTGTGTGTGTGTGTGTGTGTGTGTGTGTATTTGCAGGTGTCTCTACATTAAAAGCCATAAAAGATTCATAAAATGCATTTCGCACGCCGAAACCAAATATGCCGCAACATTCACGACGCCACATCCATAAATACGAGAACCGTATACGGGTGTGTGGGTCTGTACACGGGCATAAATTTTAAAGTTTGTAATGTGCAGGTGTTCATAAAAAGTATTTACGAGCACCGGCTTGTACCAATGTAGTATACACACAAAAAAATGGAAAGGAAACCGAAATCAAGAATATATTTTGAGTGCATCAAGTGGGATTGAGTTCATAGACTGAACAAATCTTAGTTCAAGCTTAAAATACTTGAATCACGATTCGTAAGCTTAATTTAAGAATGAATTTGTTTTTCGCCGTGTACATAAAACTCATACGTCTTAAGAGCATATTCGCTGTGATGACATTCCTAATCCAAAACCTACCCCAAAATAATCAACCTTTCTCCCAGCTTACTTTGATAGTTGCAGTTAAATATATTATTTTTTGGGGCGAACAACTTAAATGCGACGGCTTTTAGGAAAACTTCAGCACGTACGCGACATTTGCCAATTGCTGAAAATTGTGCACAAATTATATCAATTTTGAAACGTAATCATTGAATCTTATCAATTTTCTCGGCACATCGAGCACCTCGAGCACATCGAGCATTCAGCATTCAGCATCCAGAACAGACATCCGGCCAGACCGAGACGAAGACGAAGACGAAGACGTTGTAAAATGTGAAAATCAAATATTTATGATACTTTTGAGTAAAATTTCTGGCCTTCGGCAAAAGCAAACTACAAATTTTCTTTTGACGCCATCTTTCTCGTGTTTTTCTCATCGTTTTCCCTCTCTTTCTCGCTCTCTCTCTCCCTCTCTCTCTCTCTCTCTGTCTCTCTCTGTGCCTTCGGATTTATGTGCGTGCCCTTTGCAAATTCAATTTAATTTTCAGTTTTTCTTTGCTGCGCTATGGGATTTCGCACACAGCACCACTTCGCGAATGCTTCGCATATTTTTTGAGTTATGATACAAATTCGAAGGTCTCTTTACGTATTCAGTCAGCGGTAATTGGAACTTTTTTTTTTTTTTTTCTAAAACCATTTTTTGTGGCATTATCTTATTGGCTTATCAATACTTTCCAAATTGACAGCTCAAGCTCAACGAGTATTTGAGATAATTATTAATTTGCAAATGATGAAAATGTGGTTGTAAAAATAGGATTTTTCCCTACTGTCTTCTAATTTGTATCTTACAATTTATAAACCATTTTTTCTTTAAATCCAAAATATATATATATCTATAATATCTACATCAGCTTGTAGTATACTTATATTGTCGCTTCCTGTTTGTATTTATAGAGTTGAATTGTTTTGCATGCGTATCTTGACATGGTGCAGCAATGCAAATAAGTCGATTTGCATGAGCATTTGAGCCATCTGTTTGCCAATATTGATTACACAGATAACGGCAAAACGTTAGCCAAAGCAGCTCAAAGCCCATTTGACACACTCTAAGTCAATTCCCTGTGAAGAAAAGCAACTTCGCCTGACCGCTTCATGTTGAGCATTTGTACATATTATTACAATCGGGGGCCATGTACGAACTTTTGGATATAGACAGCCACACGCACAGAGTGAGGGATAAGCTCCCCAATTGAAGTTGCATTTGCCACTTGAACGATACTGAAGTTCGACCCAACCCACCCATACATAAACTTAGAAAAAAACTCGGCTTAAATTTCAGAAAATCGGCCTCAAAACTATAAAGGTGTTCTTGTTTTTAGAAATAATTTCCAAGTAAAAGAAAATAAATTGTCCCAAATCTATGGTTTTATTTTTATATTTTAGAAATATTTCGTAGAAATGTTAATTCCTTAATTTCTAAAATTCAAAAACAATATTGAAATCGTAGGTATAAAACGACGATTTTTTTCTGAGTGTATTATGTGGAGGGCTAGTTGGTTGTCTTTGTCGTGCTGTTGGTTTTGGCTTCCTCTCAAGTTGAAGACGCAGCAATGCATTATGCTAAAATGTCATTGCGTGCTTATTGGCCCGTCCGTCCCTCCATCTCTGTGTCCATCTATCCATCCGACTGGCAATGCATATTGCCTTCCGGATGAAACAGCGACTTATGCTAAACTGACAGCCAGCAGCAGCATGAGCAGCGGCAGCAGCAGCAACAGCGGCAGAAATTGAATGGAAGCTCGTTTATTTTGTTGCCATTTGGCATTGTGGCAAGGAATTGATGCTCCATCGAGCGTCGCGATGCTGTGCCAGGATTTGTCAGTGTCGTCTTCGTTTGTTGGGGCGGAGGGGGTGGGGGTTACAAGTTGCCAAGTTATAAATGCCTGGCAATCCCAACACAAAGGCATCCCGACAAAGGCATTACCATTTACCACACACACAACCATTCCCATTCCCAATGCCATTGCCATTGCCATTCCTCTGACATACATTCCAGGAACTGTATGAAACTGGCATTATCGGTTCGCTTGCTTGCAATTACACATGCCATTGACACAGTTACTGTATGTGGGGTAGCATATGATATGGCATTGTATCATATGAGGCACCTCCTCCTCCTCCTTTCTTACAGATTTCACTCATTACTCGGTTAACTTTTCTCATTTTACACACTCGAAAGAAAAAACAAGTGTGTACGCATTTTAATAAGCTCTATGACAACTATTTTCAACCTAATTCTTAATATTTAAATACATTTTTGTGATGATTCTGTTCTCATTAGTTATGAGTTGAAAATTGTAGTAGGATTGTAGAATTAAGTTTTATTTCCCTTCAAAATAATGTTTGGATGTGTTCCATTTTGGCTCAGTGCGAAGACACCAAAATAAATGCCAGAACATTGCCCCTATAGACACACACATGCACACGCACACACACATGCACACGCACACACACACACACACAGACACATAACCGTATTGATATAGTAGTATTTTTCCAGTCCAAAGCTCAGACTTGCCAAACTTCAAGCTGTGTCTGTGTCTGTCCAAAGAATATTGTGTTTTCTTTTGTTGGCCGTCTCCTGAATGGCCCAGGGCTCCGTTTCGTTCACGTTGTGGAAAAGTAAATATACACACACCCACACACACACCCACCCACACATACAGATAGTCGAATCTTGCAGGTCGATAAAATCGCTTTGAAAGCAATAGCTTTAAGGGACCTTTAATCAAATCCAATGGAAACTCAACGAGTAAAATTTAAGTTTGCGTATTATTGAAGGTCGACCATACAGCGATTTATTTTATTTTTTAAAGACTTAGTTCTTTCGAGACAATTTTGTATTGTAAATCATATTGAATGAGAACCAAAGAGTTGATTACCAATGAACTGATTATAGACATCACATTCGATCGTTCCACATTATAAAGACCAAGTATGGAAATTTTGAGAGGATTGCGCTTCAGCTGAAGCTGAAAGCTCTCGATCTGAAAGAAGAACGATATTAACATAAAGTCGATTCAATCGTTTTGTAACGCATACTTACAACCGTCTCCAGCCGTTCATCGAGTCCCGGAGAGATTGTTGAAAAGTGTTCCATCAGCTCGACCATTTTTGAATGATTATCCAGGACAAAGAGAACATTGCTGATGGTGACTAGACAATCGGCAAAGTAGAAAAATACTTGGAAGATATACACAAAGATGAAGAAGAAATTCCATTCCTTATCAATGTTCTGTTTAATGGTGGAAAACATATAATAGATAGCGGTCACAATGGTCGTGTACGTATGGATAAAAATACACAGTCCCTGTATTTCAAAAGTTTGGAGCATGGTCTCGCTTAGCGATTGCAGCTCGGATTGTGTTAGTGCTATACCCTCCAGTTGGTCAGCGAGAGAGCAGCACTTACTCATGACTGTGGCCCTGCGATGTACATGCTCCAGGGAGCAAATCTCAGCGAATACTGACTCAATCTCCTGGTTGAGCAGAGCATAGTGGCTGTGCACATTTAGTACGGCAAAGAAATAGTGTGTGACTGTCAAATTGACAAGAATTGCCAGCAAGTAAAGCCCAACGCTGTCGAGGGCCAGGCCACTCGTCAGATATGGCCACAGATACATTAGGGTTAATACAACCTGCACAATTTCTGGCAGGAGATATGTTATCGTTTTGTAAATGATGCCACGACGCCAAAATCGCATAACATTTGGTTTCCGTATGGCCAGGCGTCGAAGTCCATTCACCAGTTGAATGAGTCGGCGGCGTTGCCACCAGCGATTGAACAGCGTTGCCACCAGGCTGGTAAATCGCACTCCATGCACAACCAGGTACAGGTACTCATGCATATGTCCTGCTTGTGTGAACAGTCGCATTACTCGAAGTCCGTTACTTATACTAATCAGCAGGATAACGACTAGTCCATTTGCCAGGATGGCATAGATCGATGCTCGACTCGTGATTCGAGCCAGTCCTGTCTCCACATTAATCTCGAAGTTGAGCACCCCAAGGACCCGCGAGTAATAGTAGGCTATCCTCAGGATCAACTGCACCGGGTCAACCATTTTAAATGACTGAAAAGAACTCCCATTGCCATTCAATGGGGTGTCCAATAAAAATACATAGCGATTGATGCGATTGATAAATAAACAGATAAGACTAATTACGAAATGGATTACGAAAAGAAAATGGGCCAAAACAAAACATGAGAAACCATTGCAGTCGGGCGAAATGCTCGGACACCAATAGATTATACCATCTCATAACAGCTGTCATAGAACAGATTGGGTGTAGCAAAGAAATTTTATCCATTGAAGGACGTTCCTAGTAAAGCTTGCCTTTAAAATACTGGATTATATACCGATCTTTAAAGTAGGTTACCAGCTAGTAACCTTCCAAGTTTGGTGACGCTATCTTTAAAATTGTGGGAGTTATGCGGTTTCATTAATTTATACTTTTAGAAAGATCGGATTTGGCGATTATGGGCGCAGATGTTGGCGTGGCCATACATATTTCAGTTCATAATATTGTAAATCATAAACTGTTAGAGTTATTGATTGGATAACGTTTAATTTAATTTATTTATTTAAATTTTTCAATTCATATTGAATCAGGACCACAGAATTCATTATTATTGAACTGGCCATTGCAATTAGTTCTGATCGTTCCACGTTGTAGCAATGCATAAGACGAATCTTCAAGGGATTTCGCCTCAACTGAAGCTGAAATGTCTCGATCTGAATGCGAAAAAGAAGGAATTTATTATTCATATAAGTTAATTCAATCTGTATATACACTTACGACTTCCTCCAGTCGCTCGTCCAACCCTGGAGCGATCGTTGAGAACTGTTCCAGCAGTCTGACCATATCGGCATGGACATCTAAGACAATGTAGAAATTGTCGATCGTGATCACAGCGTCCGCGTAGAAAGAGCCCATTGTAAGTAAATACCACATAATAAATGCGGCGGTCCAAACGACACCCTTGTTTAATATGAAAGTCGCGAAAGTAAAATAGATAGCACCGATCGTGGAGAAGTAAAAAATGACAGATATGCAGACACCCTGTATATCAAATATATGAGTTATGCTCTCGACGAGCGCCTGTAGTTTGGACTGTTGTCGGGCGACGTCGTCCAGTTGGTCGGCTAAGGAGCAACATTTTGACATGAATGCAGCCCTTCGATTTTCAGACTCTAAGGAATGAATATTGGAGAGAATTGCTTCGATCTCTTGATTGACGAGAATGTAGTGGCTATGAGCATTCAGCATTACAAAGTAATAGTGCGAGCCTATTAAATCGGTTACTGTTGTTAATGTGTACATCATACACGTCATTATTGCAAAGCTTAGTGACGGATATGTCCCAAGTATAGTGAAGCTTATTGATACTTGTGCGAGCTCTGAAAATACAAGGCTTATAAATTTGATAATGATTCGTCTTTGCCACATTCTCGTAACTTGTGGTTTGCGACATGCCAAAAGACGAAAGACGTTTATAACATTAATCAGCCGACTACGATGATACCAACGATTGAGCAAAGTTGCCATCACACAGATGATTCGAATGGCATGTGTAATCACAAAAATATATTCATACAGCAAACTCGCATTTAACCAAATCACTGCAATCAGATAACTGCTGCTTTGAAATACTAACACACTAAAGATCAGTCCATTGATGATGATAGCATAGATCGAAGCTAATCTCGTAATTCGCGCTCGACCTGTTCTCACGTCAATTTCAAAGTTGATCACCCCAAGGAGACGGGAGTAATAGTAGAAAAGCCGTAGGATCCACTTAACCGGGTCAAACATTCTGAGAGACTAAACAGGAATATAATTTCCATTGTGCAGACAGTCAAATGAAAATGTGTAGCAATTGATGCGATTGATGGATTAGTTGATATGACTAATTACGAAATGGAAAGTTAAAAGAAATTAACTGGAATTAGAATATTTTAAGGCAAGTTTTAGTTTTATTGAATTGACTTGACTTGACAAGTGTTATACATTTTTTATTGCTCGGTCAGGCACATAAATTTATAAATTCTACCCAAAAATTACCTGGTGTCGGTAAACGCGTTTTTTTCAACCTGAAAATAAAATGTTGATTCAAAAATCTGAGTTTGTTATCCGACTTATTGAAAATTTTACAATTGTTTAATAATATGTCATGCTATACTATATAACAATTGGAAGGATAAATCTTAACAAATAGTTATTTTATTACTATTCGAAATCGATTTGTATCCACATTCGCAAAACAGGGCCAGTTATCGATAAAGTGAAATAAACTTGATCTGTGTAGGTTACAGGAGAGCCTAATTTCCAATAATTCTTATTGTCTCTGATTTTGGTCCGATCATAATTGGATTTGTATTAATAGACTCAACTGCTGAAGCTGATCAATATTCCGTGTGCATGTTTTATATGCTAGTAAAGCAATGAATTTTGGGTATAATACATAGAAGAAATATAAGTTATAAGTTGTTTGAGTTATTGTTTCGAATATGTTTCTTTATTTTTCAATTCATATTGAATCAGGACCACAGAATTCATTATTATTGAACTGGCCATTGCAATTAGTTCTGATCGATCCACGTTGTAGCAATGCATAAGACGAATCTTCAAGGGATTTCGCCTCAACTGAAGCTGAAATGTCTCGATCTGAATGCGAAAAAGAAGGAATTTATTATTCATATAAGTTAATTCAATCTGTATATACACTTACGACTTCCTCCAGTCGCTCGTCCAGCCCTGGAGCGATCGTTGAGAACTGTTCCAGCAGTCTGACCATATCGGCATGGACATCTAAGACAATGTAGAAATTGTCGATCGTGATCACAGCGTCCGCGTAGAAAGAGCCCATTGTAAGTAAATACCACATAATAAATGCGGCGGTCCAAACGACACCCTTGTTTAATATGAAAGTCGCGAAAGTAAAATAGATAGCACCGATCGTGGAGAAGTAAAAAATGACAGATATGCAGACACCCTGTATATCAAATATGTGAGTTATGCTCTCGACGAGCGCCTGTAGTTTGGACTGTTGTCGGGCGATGTCCTCCAGTTGGTCGGCTAAGGAGCAACATTTTGACATGAATGCAGCCCTTCGATTTTCAGACTCTAAGGAATGAATATTGGTCAGTATTGCTTCGATCTCTTGATTGACGAGAATGTAGTGGCTATGAGCATTCAGCATTACAAAGTAATAGTGCGAGCCTATTAAATCGGTTAATGTTGTTAACGTGTGCATCATCCAGATCAGTACTGAAACGTTTATAGAGGGATATGTTCCAAGAGAAGTTAAGCTCATTGATAGTTGTGCGAACTCTGAAGATAATAGGCTTATAAATTTGATAATGACTCGTCTTCGCCACATTCTCGTAACTTGTGGTTTCCGACATGCCAAAAGATGAAAGGCGTTTATGACATTAATCAGCCGACTACGATGATACCAACGATTGAGCAAAGTTGCCATCACACAGATGATTCGAATGGCATGCATAATCACAAATGTGTATTCATACAGCAAACTCGCATTTAACCACAGTACTTCAATAAGATAATAGATGCTTCCAAATACTAATACACTAAACATCAGCCCATTGATGATGATAGCATAGATCGAAGCTAATCTCGTAATTCGCGCTCGACCTGTTCTCATATCAATTTCAAAGTTGATCACCCCAAGGAGACGGGAATAATAGTAGAAAAGCCGAAGGATCCACTTAACCGGGTCAAACATTCTGAGAGACTAAACAGGAATATAATTCCCATTGTGCTGACGGTCAAATGAAAATGTGTAGCAATTGATGCGATTGATGGATTAGTTGATATGACTAATTATGAAATTGAATTGAATAACGAGCAGTAGTGAGCGTACAAAAATTAGTAAAGGAAGACTAGTCATTGCCACATAAAACAAGCTAGAAAGCTCTAGTCTACTCTGAATACTAGTTTGCTGATATTAAATTGATGTATATGAAAGTATAATGTGGTTAACAAAATCGGTGTCATTCTTAATGAAATTTTTATAGTTGATCAATAATGTATCTGGTTATTTTATTTATTAAGGAATGACAGACAGGCAGAATAATATGACTATATCCGCTTGGCAGTTGATTAAGAATACTTTGTGACTTTCGGATTTTAGAACTATATTCCAATCATTTGGAGTACAATTTATGTTAATAAAATTATTATTCATTCATTCATTTATGTTAGGGTATTTTTTAAGTAATACTAAACAGAAAAATACCGTGTAAAGTAGACCATATGTAAAATAAACTAAACTGCATGCACAGTTTTATTTTCCCTTGCATCAGAAAATTGTAATTGAAAATGTAAAGATTGATACGATTAAGAGATGTCTTGATATTACGGCCCTAATTACGAAATGTAATAATAATAATGAGAAATCGAAGGTTGCTTATTGAAAGTCCTTGGGGATTGACGATTCGTAAATGAAGCAAACTAAATGAGAGATTGTCTATGTTTTTCTTTTGCCGTATATTATTAAGGTTTATTATATTAAAATTAACATAAGTATGCATTTTCTAAATCTTTCTGATATAAAACCAATGATCTGGTCACTATTGAGCTGGCAAAACAAACGCAAAAGGTCTTATCCAAATTGAAGAGTCCAAGAACCGAGAACTTCAGTGGGCTCCAGGCCAGCTGCAGCTTAAAGTTCTCGAACTAACAGAAGAACAAAAAGTTTTGGCTGAGATTAAGATTAATTCGATTTTCTATTCGATAGTAATCTTACGATAGCCTCCAACCGCACATCCAAACCGGGGGCAAAAAGTGTGTTCTGTGAGATTAGCTTCATCATCTCAGCGTGTAGATCCAGCAGCGAGTATATAACATAGATAAGGATGTGAAAATCTAAAAAGTAACAGGTAAATTGAAAACAAAATAGAGCCATCGTCCAATTGCTCCAATGGACACATAGTGTTCCCGTCAACTCCGAGAAGGCGATATAGACCATTCCGATGCCAGCCAGATAATAATTGATGCCCATAAATATCGTTTGCAGTCCAAAGATGTTCGTTAAATGAGTGACCAGCTTTTGCAGTTGGAATTGTGCTCTGGCTATATCCTCCAGTCGATCTGCCAGAGCACAACACTTAATTACAAAGACACCCCCTCGGTGGTCAAGCTCCAAGGAGCGAATCTCTGCGAGCACTCCACATATCTCCCGATTCAGAAGGATATAATGTCCATGCACATTGAGCAGTGCGAAATAATACTGATATGTAATCATATTAATAAGTGTTTGGATACCACTGAATATGAAAATGCTCAGAGTCAACTTGAGATTGAGGCCTTCCCAAAAGATGACCATGCTGATTAACATTTCCAGGATATATACACAGAACATGCTCAGCAATTTCCAAATGACACCACGTCGCCACAGTCTGATGACTTGAGGCCTCCGTTTCGTCAGGCGTTGAAATATTTGTACTAAACGTATAAGTCGATGCCGTTGCAGCCAGCGGGTTAAAAGTGTCACACAAATGCAAATGACTCGACCCGCCACTAGGGCGAGTAACATGAATTTGTGCAACACTTCCGACTGTGACCAGAAGAAATGTATCAGCCAGGGCAGGGAACAGATGATCATCACATTCAAGACTGCTGCATAGATCGAAGTGCCTCGCGTTGTTCTAGGACGACCCGTTCTCAAATCGATCTCAAAGTTGAGCACGCCCATGAGTCGCGAATAGTAGTAACAGATGCGCAGCAAGCACTGAACCAGGTCAAACATTCTAGACTACTGAACATTAGTTAATAAATCAGAAAACGAAATGTATCCGGGTTATAATGCAAATGTGTCGCTTACGATGCGCCTAACAGATATAAATAACTTCAAATACACAGCGAAAACGTGGAATGTTTTTGTGAAATTTGTGTAGAGTAAAAATGCAGGTGAACTATGTGTATATGTGAATACAATGTATTCCGAAATGTGCATTAAAAATTTAAGTTGTCTTAATCTTGCCGTATGTTCGCAATCTCAGGTATGCCTTTAATGGATGACCCCATTGTTTTTGGATGCTCAGAATAAGATTATAAGCCTTGAAAATGTATTTATTTGTTCTATAAATCAATAAGTAAGAATGCTGCAACTTGTGCTCACCAACTAATACATATAAACATCATCCTAATACTTATACATACTTTCATTATTTTTTACAGGTGCCTATGTCAAATTTTGTGTTATCAATTTCATATTTATGAACATCAAAAGTTATGAAAGCTAAGTTGCTATTTCTGACTGTGTACCTAATGAACTAATCGCAGTACAGCACCAGTATTCGATATTATTCAATACGTAACACAGTTGAAGAAATGATTTTATCTTTCATGGCTGTCGATATCCTTCCACATTTCAGTCATAATTTGGCTGTCATTAATTACAATATGTGTGTGTGTATGCATGTGTGTGTGTGTGTTTCCCCAATTTTACTTGTCATATGTGAAAATGACTTTTCCCCAAGCCTTTTCATCACACACACTCGAACATTTCTTTTGATTTCAGGTTTTTGTCGGCCATTTTCAGGCATCTTTATACGTGTATTTTTCATTTCCGCCTCGTTGTTGCGGCATTTCTGTTCATTTTTCACACATTTTACGGTGTAGAGACTTTGTTCCACATATCTGTGCCTGTGTGTGTATGTCTGCATGAGTGTGTGTGTGTGCGTGTGTGCTCAAGCGAACGCGCCAAGTGCCTTGAAAATGAAAGCTCTCCTGGTGCTGCTGCTCTTCGCCGGATTTCTTTTGCTTTCTTTTCCATTCCATTCAGTTCC